TCTCAGTCTCAAGCTATAACTGATTTGGGACACAAAATCCAAAGCCGAAACCAAACACCATCTTGTGAAACAATGAGACTTGAGATAATTTTCTAACAGTGGCCTTCTTCTACAACTATTTGAGTAGATGACCACAACTAAGTTAAAAAATCAAAACGTGTTCACTGGTCTCCCCGTGTGGTAATTATTTTAGTGTTATATAATTTCAAACCTTCTCGTTACTATTGTCACATCTACGACTTTTGTAACTAGCGCCATCTATTGTACTGCTGTATCAGTATTTTAATAATTGGTAGCGCATTAGCTTCCTAAAGTGTTTATTTTATTTCTTAAGATCTGCTCAGAAGCAATTATAAGCATTTAAAAAAAATGGATGGCTATTTCGGGACAGTTAAAAGTAATTCTATTATCATAATGGTTATTTTATTGTATAAAGCTAATTTATTTGGTTTTGCTGAAAAAACAACAACAATAAAACAAAGAAAACTAACAGTAAAGTCCCAGAGTGATAAAATAGCTAAAATATCGAAGGCTTATGAATTTCTTTTTATGGCAACGTAACTTCACTTAATAAACAGAGTTAGAAATACAAAGCGTAACTGAATTTCAAGAAACGTTAATTAACAGCAGCTAAAAAATTGGGTTGTTGTTAAATACATGTGATGCATTCCATCTGGCCCCCCAGTGGCACAGCGATATGTCTGCGGACTTACAACGCTAGAATCCTGGTTTCGATACCCGTGGTGGACAGAGCACAGATAGCCCATTGTGTAGCTTTGTGCTTAATTACAAACAAACAAACAAAAGCATTCCATCTGATAATCTCGTATTATTTAATGCTCAGGTATCGACACTGACAGTAAGTTATTAATAAGCCTTGTAAAAAAATAAGACAAAGATATAGATCAGAACTAACAACTAACTAATAAATGTAATATCACCAATTTTCGAATTATATATAGTCAACTAACTAGAAGTGGTCCCACCGTAGGACAGCTGGTATGTTTACAGACTTACAACGCTACAATCCAGGGTTCGATTCCCCGCGGTAGAAACCGCAGTTAGCCAAATGTGCATTTACTCTAAAATAAACAAGGAAAAAGACGAAAGATATAATTATTAGAGTAAATTAAATCAACGTTTATACGCCCTTTCTGTTTACAATTCCAGTCGTAATAACTCTGAAATGCGAGTAATTTTTACTGTTTTGTTCCTCACAGTTGTTACTACAGTTTCTAAGAAAGACTGTTTATAATAAAGGTACAATATATAATACTGGGAGTTTAATTTTCCCTCATAATCTTTATCTTTCAAGCACTTTGTTTTTTATCTTGTTTTTCTAAGAAAATTTGTATTGTAATAACACTCAAAGTCACATCATAATTATCTGAATTACAGATTTTCGATATCGCGAGTCACGTGATATATGTTTACTTATATATGTACGGAAATAATTCATTTCGAGAGGGGGGTATTTTTATAATGACGACCTTTATACTAGTAACTCACCACGAATTGATTTCAAATATCAACAATAACTTTTGGTTGTAGGGTTATATACTTTGTATGTTAGGCGACATGGTTGTGCGCCACTCTAACACTAAATATCTACTTTAGCAAGCCAGTGGTAGAACATAAACGATTTTCCAAAAAGTACCGTCGAATCCTTAAAAATCGTTTGCTGTTATCGTAAAATTAATCAATACGGTTTATTTTATATTATCTTTTTTTTCTGTTTGTTATAACAACCCCCTTTATTCCCTGCTCTTTCTAATCGTTCGGTGACGTACTGTCAAAACTTTTCTTTATAATCAATATATTTAAGTAGGTCATGGTTTCTTTCCTTTTCTACCCGAAGGCACTGTGGTCGAGAATAACCGTATAGTTGATTTGTATTCTTAATAGACTCAATTAACATTGACGCAAGCGCTGTTAGTGGTTTATAAAATACTAAAACCTCTTTAATCTACTTGTGAAATTGTTAACCGGTTAATTTCTTACACATTCAAATGAGAATAAAACAACATGAAGATTAATGTTATCATATATCTTGTATAAACGAATTAAAAGAATATTATAACAATTTTTTTCTTTCAGTTTTCATGATCCTTGCAAGAATAAACATTTATTTTCTTCGAGTGAGGGACCAGGTCACCTTGATTTTTTTTGTTTTTTTTTATCAGCAAGGTTAGGATAATAAATGACCAGAGGGCCTACGTTATTTCTCCTCATCACCACACGGCTCTGTTCCCCAGAAGGTCAGCGTTACATGTACGATGTAGGAAAAGTATTAAAACTTATGTCTGTATTTGGAGTCAAACGTTATATGTACGACGTAGGAAAAGGATTAAAACTTATGTCTATATTTGGAGTCAAATATTGCTACTCGGGTGTGTAAGCAAACTCCAAAGACGAACGATATGTTAAAGAATGCGTTATAATGCGCATTTTAGGCTTAACTATTAAATAAATTCCGTCTATACCCTTGTTGGATCTTCCTTTATGAAACACGTCATAGAACTGCAATTAGTGTATTTTGGATGATATTTATTTATTTGTCTGCTATTTTAATATTCTACATGCTTGATTTTGTTATTTACCCCGTAGTTTCGTGATCAGATGTTTAATTATTAGTTAGTCTTTCTAAGTCATCTTCGATTTATCTCCATAGCCTAAGAATAATTTCTACTTATGTTTTTGTGTATACAATCACGTACGTTACGCTTCACTTATAACCCACTAACTTATGGTGTACATTTTATTTGCGTATTTTTCACGTCTCGCGTAATATATGGCGTAGAATCAAAAATGACCTAGACAAAGACGTCGCCAGGTGCTTAAAAAATTAGGGTCTCTGCGATTCAGTATGCTAATAATCATGCTTTTAAATTAGATTTTTTTAAAACACCAACAATGGATTCAAGGCATGGGTCCCGAGTGCCAGTGTCTAGCGTGGCCTCTTGGCCTAGGCAGGGACTATCTTGTATACAACTAAACGGAAATGATTGCTTAGCTGAACAATTTAAATTTCCGTCTCTTGCCTACAGAGTAAAAAATATTTTATAGAATGATTTATCAAAAATAAAGTACTAATAATAACGCTTGTTCCTGGTTTGAAAAAGAACGTTTGCTCGAAACGTCGCCAAGGAAATAAAATACAACTATAGTTTTTTTTAAAGTGATTTATCTCTTAAAAAGTCTATTTTTTATTTTATCACCTTCACATTTTTCTTATATATATATATATACGTGTGTGTATGAGAGAGTATATACATTATTGGTGTAGATATAACACCATAAGTAATAAAGAAATTCTACAATTTAACAAAATTTGAGGTCGTGGGTGCGTTATAAGAGTGCCAGTCAAATCACATTGTTTAATTATAGTAGCCCACGAGTTGGCGATGGGAGGTGTCAACTAGCTCACTGCCTTCCTTCTAGCCTATTACTTCATAATTAGGGACAACTAACGCCGATAGTCCTCGAGTAGCTTTGCACTAAATTCGACAAACAAGCTTATAATAGCATCATTGCGTATTTATCATAGCAACTGGCGATCTCGTACTAATTCATATATAAAATTATTTTTTTGTTTGTACGATTTATTTATAGTGTTTTTATTTCTTTAAGAAACACACAGTTTTATTTGTATTTATAAAGTAAATTTATGTTTTGGTACTTTATTATTTCCTAGCTCCTGGAGCAGGAAAAACATGCGTTGCGGAGGAAGTTGGATTCTGTGGAAAGAGAGTATGACAGCCGCGTGGTGGAGCTGCAAGCGGATATAGCAGAGCTGAGGAAAGAGCTCGAAGGCCACGAGGTGTCGTTAAAGTCAACAGAGAAGGAAAAAAGTAAAGTTGTCCAGGAACTTCAAGAACAGAACCATAGATTGACTCTTGCTCTAAAACAGGTGGATGACACCCCTTAAAATTTTTATTGTTATAAATAATGTCTGAACGTTTGCGTCATTATTCCGAGCACACGAAAGTGCAGTTTCTAAGGGTGTAACAGTCAGCTTGAACTTCTTTCTGAAATAAGCATTTATTGTAACCTCTAATATTTTGATGTGTTTTCAACACTTAGTCAACCAATTTGGCATGGTCTGTTATAATTTAGTAACCTGTCTTCAACTTTTCTGAAGCAATTAAATTACTCCCCCCCCCTTATGTTGTAGGTTTTTCATAGCTAAAATAAGAAATCAAACTAAATACATGCATTTAAGTAGAGTATAATCTTAGTAACAGAAACAGATTTCTGATTAAGAGGTCCGTTACAAAATATTCATTTATTGTACTTTTTAAAAACGATTACTGAGTTTTCAAAGGTATTGCATATTTTTAGTATTTAACTCAAATGATTACTACATTTGTAATTAGTAAATAACCTATCCTAAATTCTAAACAAAATAATTCCTAGGATCAGTGAATGCCACGTTATGGCAGTGGTGGTTTTCCTCCTTGCTTACTTTTGCTTTTAAGAAAATACCTTACAATTTTATAAACTAAATTTATTAGTGATAAACAAATTAAATAAATAAAAAAGTCAAAACATATATTTAAAAAACTGGTTTGTTATTATTCTTTTATTATACATTTCATATTTTATTATTTATTATTATTATACCCGCACCTGGGCTTATTATTTTTTTTTTTCAAACTTAACTTGATATAACACATTTGTCTTTTCTGGTGTTTTTGGTCCCCTGGTGGGACAGCGGTAAGTCTACGGACTTACAACACTAAAATCCGGGATTCGATTCCTCGCCGTAGACACAGAAGACAGTCCAATGTGGCTTTGCTTTCATACAAACAAATAAACAAGCTACTGTTTGTATATTTTGTGTGACTAGTTGGCCACGATGGAACATTTCTAACGACCAGTAACAAATTTCTATCAACAGAAATGCCCCCAGTGGCACAGCGGTATGTCTGCGGACTTACAACGCTAGAATCCGGGTTTCGATACACGTGGTGGGCAGAGCACAGATAGCCAATTGTGTAGCTTTGTGCTTAATTAAAAACAAACAATCAACAGAAATAATAAAACGAAGAAGAAAAAAGCTCTTGCAAAGAAAATTTTAAAAGAATAAATGGTATTGTATTCCATTCTTTGTTCTTACTAACATTTGAACATACACATTTTGTTCTAGGCCAACAAGTCAGAGGAACAACTAAGGAACCAATTGAAATCACTTCGTCAACAATTCACTGTCCGAAGCTCGAATTTCTCCGATCACATTTCTCAACTTGAAGGACTTAGGGAAGAAGTAAGCGTTTTCAAAATAAGAATTTCTTTTCACAGGAACAATACTTTGTTTACGTATTAAGTGTTATTCTTTATTTTATTACACTAGAGAATTAATAATCGTAGTATTCATACCTCATTGTAAAAAATTGTAAGAAAGTGAACATTTTCTAAAAATAGATTTTTTCTGGGAAATACTGCACAGAAAAATGTTCAGATTAAGCTGGTATTAACTGTAATGCTTTTATATATATATTAAAAGTGCTACCCTTTATTGAAAAAATAATAATAGTTTGTTTTTTTAATAACTCCAGTTTGTTAGTACCTCATTTACAAATTACATCAATGACGATATATTCAAACCCTCATATACAGTTCTACTGAAAGTCGTCTTCTTGTTGTGAGGAGAGTATTTTTATTTAAAACTGTGTTCTGTTATAAAGAAATTATTGTTGCACAAAACATACTTATTTTTACTAATTGTCTGAATCTTGAATATCCAAAGTGTGAAATTTTTTACGGATTTTTGTTTGTAGTGCCATTCAATAGATGGCGCCACATTTCATAAGCCCAAATTCCACTTCTGGCATTGAGATCTTGTTGTATTTCAGCACAACAGATGGCACCATCGTATTTATTATTTCGGTCACATATATAGATAGCTAGATATATAGACGGCCACGCCATTGCTCCATTATAGTAAGATGTGTATTGAAATAACTGTTTACTTCGTTCTTTCTTAACAGTTTTATATACATTAATTGCCATAATTGAACCAAAACTATTTTAAACGTTTTAATACATTTTTCTTCAACAAATGTAATGATGAAACTTAGTTGTCTGGAAAGCAACTGCCTGTTGTAGAAACACAAATGTCGTCCTCTATATATGTGTTTCTACAACAGGCAATTGCCGTCTATTCACCTAAATTAAATTCATGAATACTGTACTTAAACAGTCTATCAAAGTAAGTGTAATTATCTAATGATTATCAAATAAGATATTTAAAAAAAAATCATCTTATAGCAGAATGGTTAATTTCAAATTTTACCTATTAAGGATGAATTTAGTTTCGTTGGGTCTATAAAATCGATTAAATTGCCATTTTATCTGACCCTAGTATGGTTTATGTAAATTTTATCTTTGCTGATTTCTTCTCGGACATTTTCGTGCAAACAATGATAAATTGATAAATATATCACACAAAAACCACCACCAATAACAACATAATTTATGATAAGCAGAAGGCCCGGCATGGCCAAATGTTTAGGGCGCTCGACTCGCAATCTGAGGGTCACACCAAATATGCTCGCCCTTTCAACCGTGGGGGCGTTATAATGTGACGGTCAATCCCACTATTCGTTGGTAAAAGAGTAGCCCAAGAGTTGGCGGTGGGTGTTGATGACTAGCTGCCTTCCCTCTAGTCTTACACTGGTAAATTAGGGACGGCTAGCGCAGATAGCCCTCGTGTAGCTTTGCGCGAAATTCAAAAACAAACAAGGTAAGCAGAAATGTTTTTGTCTTTCGAAAACCTTTTTTTCGGTTTATTTTATTATTGACTAAATCAAACAAAATATTTGTATCAAGGTGTTAAAATGTTCAAGATGAAATTACGTTGAATAAGAAATTTAAATTTCCAAGGCTGACTGTTTCTAAACTATAACAAATATTTAATTAATTTTAATTGATAAGCAATTTATTTATGAGCAATAAGTTCGAATGTCAGTGAATTAAAGGTAAGCATAAGTATTATTTTATTTCCATTTCAAATCTACAATATTTCTATAGATCGATATTCTGACGGAGAGAAAATATGATCTGGAACGCAGAATTGAAGACCTTGGGGAAGAGCGTGAGAGCCTCAGTATGTCCTTAGAAGAATCTGGTGATCATATAGTCATGTTGGATCATAAAAACAAAGAACAAGAACAATATGTGAGTTTTCTCACAAGTTCGTTAATTATTAAAAAAAAAAAACTTTTTTCGGTTAAATCGGTTTACAAATCTTCAGTTTTGCTAAACAGGACCGTTTTATCTAATGGCCAAAAGAAGCAATTTCCCATGGCCCACAGTCGTCAGAGGCCCACTTGCGATTAAAATAATAAATGGGCTACCTGTACTGTGCTTACTATAGGAGTAGATCCACAAATTTTAGCGTTATAAGCTCTCAAGCTTATCGCCGAACCATTGGTAAGAAATTATTTAAAAAAAAAAAAACTTTCAGAGAGGTATCAGTGATTGGGTATTGGTCAAATATTCAAAGATCGCAAATTCAAAGAAATATTTTCTGTTGGTTTTAGTGCAAAACCACACAATAGTCAATTTACCGCGGGTATCCAACCCCACATTTTACCGCTGAGATACTGGAATACAAAGTCTGATTTTGCTAAAAGATACAACCCAAGTACTACGCGGCACTGGAAAGTATGGATGGACATCGTCCAGTTCCAAGAAAATGTTCTTTAACATATTCTAAATCCACGTGGAACATTTCTGAGTGTGATAAATAAAATGTGCCTTTTGACTTTAAAGAAAAGTTTGCTTATATAAATAACTCTCTGCGTCAAACTTCAGTACTTTTTACCGTTGTCTATTTTAAACCAGTTACTAATAGCTAATTACTGATATTAGCAAATTAACATACCCAAATCAGGTGTTTTCTCTACTTTATATTTTCAGTGTGTTGACGTGTTTCATACTTCAGTTATTTATATAACAAGAGCATATATATGTGTGTTGAATAACAGTCAAAGGATCTTTTCAAAACGCATAATTTTACTGTAAGTCGTCTTTCTGATCATTTCATCATATAAAAACCATTTATATGATCATTTTGCATGATCTTATATGTATAATAACGTGTCAACCTTCCTTTGCATTTGCTATAAAAATATACCAATTTTAACTACAATTTTATAAGATAAATTTAACTAAAGAATAAATTCGACAAAAAACATTTGTAACATAAATTTCCGTATAATAGTAAAAAATTGAAGCAAAAACTAATCATCTATAATACTGGTGATAAAGTAAATCAAATTATCGAAATTTGGATAACTACTAATACCTGCACCCCAGTGGCACAACGTTAGAAACCGGGTTTCGATACCCGTGGTTGGTAGAACACAGATAGCCAATTGTGTTGCTATCTGTTTAACTACATACAAACAAACTAGTATGTAGTGGGATAATTAAGTTATGCTTGGGGCGACATCTCTTGGGATACCGCAGAACTTCATTTCTGAAGTGACACTACACCAATTCATACCCAAAATTGTCACTATGGTACTGTATAAAATTTGAAAATGAATAAAAATTGTAACTGTTTTTTTTACGAATGAAAGTAGAATAACAATGTATTGAAGTGTAGGTTGCATTACAGTCAGAATATAACTAGAATTAAATATTTTACACACATCCAAAAAAATAAAATTAATGAAGTACCCTCAGTGTATTATTCTACCCCCAAATAAATTGTGATCAGTTAACCAAAATTTTAAATCCTAAAATTGAAACTAATTTTTGGGTGAAAACATACGAATTATGCAAACCGAAAATGGACATGTTAGGACATATTATCTGGCATTTTGTTAATCGGTCAGAGGACGATGTTTACGCACGCATGGGCAATTTTTATTTTAGTGTTAACGACGTTACTTGGCTATCGCTAGCCAAAGAAAAATGTTTGGACTAGTTAAATACCAATTACTTTTTGTTTAGCTGGAAGACACAATTTTCATTTAGAAATGAGTTTCGTAGAGCTATTATTCAAGTTGCTAATTAGCTTTGATTTTCTAATAAACCATGTTAATAATCTCTCTTAGATTCGAAACCAGAAGAGGGAAATGGAAGAGCTCAGACATGCTAATATTCAGCTACAAGCTAAAATAGACTCTATCCTCCAGAGATGCATTTCACCAAACTTCGAACAGACGTCCATCCACAACGAAATCGAGATGTCGTCGCACTCGTCCATAGAAGATGAATTAAAGCCGCTAAATGGAAGTCAGGTACAAAAGTTGTGTCTATGTTTTATCTTCAAGTATTTTCAGTTTGGATCGAATTAGAACATTTGGGAATTTTTATCTTATTTGTGGCAGTTCAATCCAAAAATCTCACAGATCAACCAATACACTTATTATGTTTAATAAAAACACACGATAAGACTATAACTTATAACTTTGTGAACAATTTATGCAACATATAATAAATTGATTTTTATTGATTATAGGACACCAAGTAACACACACCTTTGTTCTATAACAAAGCCACACGCGTCTACCACGAGGAACTAGAACCCTGAATTTTAGCGTTGTAAGCTCGTAGACTTGCCGCTGTCCCATCGGGGGACCTCACGCATGAAATCGAACGAAAATACCATCACGGTTATAATTATTCCCATTAACTCATTACTAGTGAAAAATACAAAAACGAGTCTGTAATTTAAAGGTTTTAAACGTTTAGATTCTATAATGCAATATTTGCTTGTTATTTTGACTTAAAATTCAATGGACCATTCAATGTTTTAAAATCTACAAAGTGTTGTTTTATGATATGACTTCCTGTTTAATTTTATCTGTTATTCAATCTACAGAACGGTAGGATTAGACCTCAGACCCAACCAGGGTCAAATGTTGGTTTCCATGTGGACCTGGGAGATGTAGATATTGAAAGCGAAAACTCTGAAATGTTTACTGAATTTCCAATTCCAGACGCTAAAGATGGTTGGAAGGTAAAGATAGTCGCTAGATGGCAGCAGTTATTTTTTCGATACACTTTATTTTCAGTCAGAGATAAGGGTAAATTTGTCGATTTGTTAAATACACCCTAATAAAATTATTGAAATAAAAACATCAGTAATATTAAAATAGTATTAAATAATCTGAGTTACAGTTATGCTAAAGATTTTTCAACATAAAACAACAACAAATGGAATACAAGCAAACTGTACAGAATAGTTGAAGCTGATATCCGCTAACTTTTGTTGTTGACAGTAACTTTCAATAATATTCCACTGCTTCCTCCGTAGTTTCGGCAAGAGCTAGTTGAGATCTATAATCAGATTAAACTGTTGTGTGAAGACCTGAGGAGAAAACGAGACTGCTTATCAGCGGATAGTGGCTTTTCGTCATCACCAGACGACGTACAGGCACAACACATGCGCGTTGGGATGATAACGGCGGTACTCAAGGAATTAAGAGCCCTTATGCATGATCTAATAACCAATTACAGTGAAATAGTACGTACACGTATCTGTATTTAAATACATATCTGATAATTTCATAGTTAATATAATTATGTTCTACATAAGAAGCTACTATTTAATGTAATAGTTATAAGCTTTACTTATAAATTTTGTGTTGAATAAACCATTGCTGTCATAAAATAGCATAACAATTAATATGAAAGGGTAAATGTATCATATATAATATAATGTATCATAAAACGCGTTGTAAGCTATATTTTCAATTTTATAATTTAGTTATTTGCTAGAGGGAGTTGCCAATCATGATAACAATGCTGGATTTAGAAAATTTGTAAAAATAGTCCTAGAACAGTATAAGTAGAATTATTAAAACTTCCCGTACTTGATATAACTAGAAAAGAAGGTTCAGTATAATATAATAATGAATGGTAGAGTAGTTGATGATTGAGGAAAGATTGATTGAATTGTTATTCAAGTAAAGTTATTCAGATTATTGCGGTCAGTGCATCAGTCAGTTAATCAGGTTTGTTATCAATCAAGGAAATTTATGTTAAAAATGAAAGTTATTGATGTATTACTGTTAGGCCTACCAGTTTCACTTTTGTGTTTCTTTTGAAATGTTTAGTATTTGAAATTAGACCTATAGGTAAGCGTGGCTGTAGGAAACGTTAAAGAAGAAATAAAGTTAACTTGTTTTTTTATGTGAACTAGACATCGGATTATTTTTAACTAACAGGCCAAAAGAATTTGTTAAACGATAGAACTATGTTACACTTGCAACAAACTGGTTTCCAGCCGCATAACTGAATATAGGCATTGGAGCTTAAAAATGGAAGCTAAATGTGGGAGGGTTGCCAGCCGTATAACTGAATATAAGCATTAGAACTTAGAAATGGAAGCCGAATGTGGGAGGGGGTGGGCTAAAGCTAAAAATTTATATAATAAAGTTTATCAGAAGTGCGCTCAGCAAGCGAGAACTACGGAGCTTTTGGAGATATACTCCCCTAGGACATTTGTTTTCTATTTAAAGTGGTAATTTAGGCCTATTTTGATAAAAGCCATAGGGAAAAAATACTTAATGTAAAACTAAAGTAAGCCATTTAAATTTAATGGTCATCATACCTTTCAATTTTTGTTTTACCTTGACCTCCTAATCTTTTACAACTCTTTATTTCCAGCTATAAAATTCATTTTATAATCTTTATTTGTTTACATAATCAAACATTATTTTGAACTAAAAACTCAATTCAAGTTGGGGAAAATGGTTGCTTTACCCTGTATTGTATAAAGGGTGTGTTCTCCAGTTCTTAACACTTATGTTGGTTTTAAGCAGTTTATTAGCATTCTTGTATGAGCTGTATTAATTGAGTAGTTTGTACTGGTGGAATAGTTTAATAATGTAATGAATTTTCAGCTAAGTAAGTTTAACATACTGATCTTTCCAAAACAAAACTAAGATTATTTTTTGTTATCTCCAGCCATGCTCAGCTTGCCAGACAGTTGCTCAGGAGAGGGATCTGTTGGAAAAAGTTCAAAAGGAACTTAAAGAAAAAACCAAGGAACTGAAAAAGAAAGAAGAAAGCGTGTCTGAACTCACAAAAAAAGTAAAACTTTTCAGGATAAATTAAACATATTAGTAATTCTTGCATATAATTCTAAAAAGATTTATTTTCACAAAAATAGGCCATTTATTGGGCTATCTGGGCTCTGCCCACTGTGAATATCAAACCCTGATTTTCAGCCTAATAAACCCTGCAACACTGCTCAGCTATTGGGGGGGGCACACAGGAATAAGACTATTGTTTCTACAATACATTTATTAATTCTAGCACATAAATTAGCACATTACTTCATGGGACGTGAACATTTAGCTATAAAAATTTTCCTAATTTGTTGCTATACACACACACTATTTTTTAGATATTAGAATTCATTGTGCTGTGTTTATGTTTCAGTAGTTTAAAGATATAGAATGCAAAAGTTGGTGAAAGATGAAGCCTAATTGGATGGGAGAGTCTGATGGAACATTATAATAAAACAATAATTTTCAACCTTGTTTTGCTCGACATTTACTGATGAGATTTTTACTTAACACTAGAAGTTTTCATGCTAGCTGTACTATGTTTTCCTGAAAATTAATTTAGATAGTAACATTTACGAGATATTAAACTATAAATAAATACTTACCATTATGGGTCAGTTATAAAGTAAATTCTATATATATATAATTAGCATTGTCACCTACATGTTTTATCATCAACTTTGTGATTCTTCAAAGCTGTCTTTAAGAAAAATTATACCTTACAGATTGGTACGTTTTATTGGCCGAAACTGTTAACATTCAAAATGTCAGCATCTGTGCGTCTAGACCAAAATTAAAAATGATCCCTTTCATTTGATTTGTTTAGGTAGCCATTCAAGAAACAGATGTAGCCCTTCTAAACGAAGAAAGAAATCAGCTTCGTGATGATATTAGCAACAGTAAAATTGCTAAGGATGAAATTGTTAAAAAGGCATGGGATGTGCGTGATGGAGCAGTTGCAAGGTAATATTACTCAGAATTTCACTAAAAGGATCAATGCACAAATTTAGTAACTATCTACATTGTTTACTCATTTGATTTTACTTCACTGTCAGTAAAAACCAGGCTGAATATGAAAATAAATGTTATTTAAATGTGTGTGTGTGTGTGTGGTGGAAAGATTAGCAAGAAAGATTTAACTTAAACTGACTTTAGCATAGCCTTGCTTCTACAGGAAAAATAGATTTAATAATCATATCTTATCCCAACACTCGAAACTTTTATATTTTGTGTAATTTTTTACTTGTTGGGCTTTGGACTTTTTTATGCAGGAAATGCAGTAGAGATTGAACTTGCCAAAACTAGGATTGATATGATGCATATTAATAGTCAGCTGATGGAAGCCGTTCAACAAAAAGTGGAGTTATCCCAACAATTAGAACAGTGGCAGGTAACTAACTTATCACAACAAAACTTGGTTTAAGTATTTCTATACCACAACAGTAATAAGAAATACACACACACACACAATATTTGCATCAACATGTTCGTTGGTTTGGAAACCATACATGCATTTTCTGGGTGAATGCAAAATATTTAACGTCAACACATTTTTTGAACAAATGGAAAACATTTAACATACACCACGACACCAAAACGCTGTCATTTTTTAATCTCAAAACTGTCCTTTCGGACCTAGCACGACAATAGCAGCACCATTATGTTTAATTTGTTGATTACCGACACATTTTTTAACATAATATTTATCATTTAACATATATTACTACACCAGCACTAATAGGTTTGATATATTTTTTTTAAAACGTTTAAAACACGTTGGCTACCACGTGACCCACCGGAGGGTCACGTGGCACTATTAGTAATGTGACCCATGACCCTCTTGTGGTTCACAGACAATAATATTGCAAATTTAAAGTTTCTTTGTGGCATTTGATTCTAGGATGTATGATTGCTTCTTGGCACTTCAGGAATGTTCTTGTTTATGTAATAACATTATGAATTTGCTGCCCTTCATGAAACACAATTAATTTGAAAATGAAACCAAAATAACAGTATCTTTTATACTATAACCAACACAGTGGAAAATAATGCATTTTTCGTGAGAAAATTATATAGTACTTTGAAATTGGACAAAAAAAACAAAAAATACTTTTGCACATCCAAAAGAAACAAAAAAAATTAACTTTATGAAAAAATATTTCGTAGAGATTCATTTTGCAGTTGGCACTAGAATGTGGATCAATATATTATAAGTCGGTAGCAAACGTATTAATACCTGCCATGTAAAACATCGACTTGTGAGCTCTGAAAATGCATTTTTGACCTAATACTTTGCAGTTCTTCAAACCAATGGACCTTTAATATTCCTAAAAAGTGCCAACATCGTAACTAATCCAAGAAATAAACCAGTGGGCCATTAATATTCCTAAAACATCGTAACTAATCCAAGTAGATAAACCAAGTGGGCCATTAATATTCCTAAAAAATGCCAACATCGTAAC